TCTATACCGTTAAGGGAGCTTTAGGAGTCCCTGGGTGGTGAAATGGTTAGCACTCAGCTGCTAACTGAAAGGTTGGTAGTTCAGGTCCACCCAGAGGCACTCAGAAGACAGGCCTGGTAATCAATCTACTTCTGAAAAACTTAGACACTGAAAACCTATGGATGGGAGAAAAATGTGGAACAAAACTCAGATTCCTAAAGACAGGCCAGGTTTACTAGACTGAGAGAGATTAGAGGAACTCCCGAGACTATTGCCTTAAAATAACTTTTGAACTTGAATTTGAAGCTATTTCTGTATGTTACCTTTCAGCCAAATAGTAGATTGGCTTATACAATAAACAATATCACCTGTGAGTAATGTGCTGCCTTAAACAATTAACTACATGAGACCAAACAGTCAACATTTACCCAAAAGCAAAGACGAGAAGGCAGGGAGGGACAGGGGAACTAGATCAATGGAAACAGAAACAGAAGGGAAATAACGAGAATTTTGACACTTTTAAACATATAACCGATGCATAGAATACTTTGTATAAGAATTGTTATAAGGGAACCTAATCTGTTATAAGGGAACCTAATTTTATTGTGCTTTAGGTAAACTTTCACAATAAAATGTTACTAAGAAAGAAAAACCCTACTGAACGCAGTTCTAGTCTGACACACACAGGTTGCCATGAGTCAGAATCGACACTGCATTCAATCTTTGGTTTAATGGTGCTTTAGATCAAAATTTAAATAAAGGGGGCAGGAGGCTTCCTGGAGAAGTGTGGCCTGAGCTGAATCCTGAAAGAGGAATGAAGAAGGAGCTGCAAAGCACTTGCCATGGACTTGCATAAGTGAGGAGTATTTCAGAAAGCGTGAGTCGCCCTGGGTGCTTAAGACGAAGGGTCTCTGTGGGCAGAAGGGGTGATGGTTAACAAAGTGAGGTTGGCAGAGTCCGATGGTGAAGCAGAAAGGCCAAGAAAGCCTGGAACTAAGGACCATATTGTGAGACATTTGCCATTGATAACTATTTGTTGAATGAGGCAAGTTGGACAGGATCATATGATGGGAGGTGAGGGCAAGAGAGGTAGGAGAATCTAGGTTTCTGGTTGGGGCAGCTGAAGCATCCACAGGTGATAATGGATAAAGAAGCCACCAAAGTGAAGTCTCTGCCCAGTGAGAAGGTGGACTGAGAAGAGAGCCGAACCCTGTAATACACTCCAACATTAGAGGGGTGAACTGGGAAGGAGCCGCCAGAGGGAAGGAGGAGAACCAGGCTGTAAAACTTCCTTCCGACAGGAATAGCTTCTCCTCCACCCTCCAGACATCTACTTATCACCGAGCTGGAAGTCCAGCACCCTCTGTGAAGACATGAGGCTCCATTCCCAGGCCTCTTCCATTTGTTGTTGTTGTTATGTGCCATCGAGTCGGACCCGACTCATAACGACCCCTCCTTGGGTTTCTGAGGCGGTATCACTACGGAAGTAGATTGCACAACCTTCCTTCCAAGGAGTGGCTGGTAGGTTTGAACCGCCAGCCTTCTGGTTAGCAGTCAAGTGCCTTCGGCACTACGCTACCAGAGCTCCCGACCTCTTCCATAGTTCATCATAATCAGCCTTGTGCTGTTGGTGACCATCTCTGGTGAAGGCATCTTATCCTCTAGCATCACTTGAGGACAGGGCCTGGGTCAGGGTGATCTCTGTGCCCCCACAGCCCAGCCCCAGGCACACCACAGGTTCTCAGGGGCTGCTTGTAGGATGATGGACACTCTGGTAAGAAGATGAAAACTTGACCCAGCACCAGCCACCTCACCAGAATCCCCCAGGCTCCTGAGGTTGAAAGTCTGTGATAACACAGTAGGAGTCAGGCACAAAGGTGTCAGTGCCACAGCTCTGCCTCCCAAATCCAGAGGCCTTGGTCAAGCAGCAGGGCCAGGGTCAGGGTGGTGGCCCAGTCTCAGTTCTCTAGTGCTGCTATAACAGAAATACCACACATAGGTGGCATCAACAGGAATTTATTCTCATACAGTCTAGGAGGCTAGAAGTCCAAATTCAGTGCCACCTCTAGGGGCTGGGTGAAGGCCTTTGACCCTGGGCTTCAGCTCTGCCTCTTGTTCCAAGCCCACGGGAACTGGAGGCATCTCCTAACTCAGGCAGCTGCTGGCTGCTGAGGCTGGAGAACCCAAAGTCGGCAGGTAAAATGGCACAATCCCAAGATCAACAGGCAACACAGCAGGCCAAAGGTTCAAGTCCAGGAACTGGAGATGAAGACTGGGCCAAATGCAGGATCCAAAATGTGCCAAAAAGCTAGACCTGTCTCAAAGCCCCTCCTTATATACTGGCAGCAGGCCACACCCCAAAGGCCGATAGCTGCTCACAGCAGATTCCACCATGGAGGGGATACCAGCTGCCCAGCCACTCAAAACCACGGCCCAGCTGCGGTGACACACAGCCTTAACTACCACACCCATCTTATCCTAACTTTGAGGAATTAGAGGAGTGGAGCCACGTGGGACCTCATCAAATAGACTCTATGCAGCATGGAGCAATGAGCCAGAACCATCCACCCAGGGATAGATCCTGAGCTCACGGACTGCTTCCTTGCTGAGTGACCTTGGATGAGTCATTTAACCTCACAGCTTCCATTTTTTGCAGAAGGCCCTAAGTGAGGATTGCATGATATTCCCTTAAACTCTTAGCATCCTTCCTAGCACCTAGTTAAGCATCCCATAAACAATAGCTATTATTATTAAAGTGCTTTCAACATGCTGAAGCAAGTTAAAGCAAACTGAACCCACTTCCCCAGCTCTCTGATGTAACACCTTCCATCCCCACCCCTCCTCTGCCAGTACCACCCTGGAGTTCATTAGAACCCTCCTCGGGTGTTTTCCAGAGACAGGATTTTACATTTGTTTCCAGTTATAGAACTTGAACAAATGGAGGTGGGTTTCAGTTCAACTGATAAAAAGCAAGAAGCTGCTTCCAAAGGTAGTGAGCTTCCCTTGGCTTCACGTCAGACTGGCCCAGATGACCACTTGGCAGTAATGCTCTGGACCATAAATCCAATTGTATTAATATTTCTTGCTGCAATTGTATTGTAACTCCTTTTAATGAAAGGGTGATTCTAGTAGGCTATAATGCTTTGTGTCATGATTTGGCAAAATTAAAAACCCAGTAATTCAATTTGGCTCTCCTAAAAAAAGGTTTTGAAATTGTATCAGTTTGACATCTAAAATTTTAAGAGCCCCCACTTCAGAGGAGACCCTTCTTGGAAGGTGGTGGGGAAGGGCAGAGGCATGAAATATGGCCTCCTTCTGGATCTAAGTTTCCAGAACTAAACAAAACAAAAAACCCCAAACTCACTGCTGTCAAGTCAATTCAACTCACAGCAACCCCTCCTTGGGTTTCCAAGGTGGTATCACTACAGAAATAGATTGCCCAATCTTCCATCCCAGGAGTGGCTGGTGGGTTTGAACCACCAGCCTACTGGTTAGCGGTCAAATGTCTTAGGTGCTAGACCACCAGAGCTCCCTAATACCTTTAGAAGCTCAGTTTGGTTCCTAATTTGGACCCCTTGACAGAGCTCTGGTGGTGCTGCAGTTAAGGCATTGGACTGCTGACCACAAGGTCGGTGGTTTGAACCCACCAGCTATTCTGCAGATGAAGCAGTCTTGGAAACTCTATGGGGTCACTATGAATTGGAATCAACTCCATGGCAGTGGGTTTGATTTTTTTGACCCCACCCTCCCCCACCACCACCCACCACCAAGCCAAGCCCCTTTTGCAAGATTTCCCAAATCTAAAATATGGCTCCATTTAGGTCAGACCAATGAACAGAAATCCTAGGTCAGCTACACAGAGGCTGTAGTGAAGAGGCTTACTAACAGCAAGTGCCATGTAGGGCTGTTCTACAACAGTGAACTCCTAGTTGCTGAGAGTTCTGCTGGGCAGAGATTTCAGGGTGGGACCTGGACTCCCGTGCCCTCACCTCTCAGAATACCTGTTATAACTCCTCAGGAGGGGCCCTCGACAGCCAGACCCCTCTGACAACCGGCCAGCACTCAACTGCCACCTCCTGAGACCAAACCACCACCTTTGACTCCAGAGCTTCAGCCCTCAGGAAAACTGTCTTGGAACCCAGGCCTGAATGACCTTCCTGTAGAAGACATAGTAGACTCAGGATTTAATGCCAATGGAGGGGTTAGTAAGCAGGAACAAGACAGACTCAGTTTCTTGGGACTCCCACCCCCACCCTCTCCCCTACTTCAGCCCCCTTCTCAATCACCCTAAATGAAGTGCCGTTTTCTCAATTTTATAAGTTGTTGTAACACCCTACTGCTGTCAATAGGGTCAACTTCTGACTCATGCTAACCCCATGTGGCAAGAAGAGCTGCTGCATGGTGTTTCTTGGCTATAATCTTCATGGAAGCAGACTGTCAGTCTTCCTTCCTGTGCCCTGGATGGGCTCAAACCGCCAACCTTGTTGGGTTGTGCATCCTTAATTCCAACTCATGACAGAGTAAGCATGCCCCATAAGGTTTCCTAGACTGTAATCTTTATAGAAGCAGATCACCGGGTCTTTTCTCCCACATTGCTGCTAGTGGGTTCAAACTGCTGACCTTTTGGTTATTGGCTGAGTGCTTAATCATTGCATCAGTAGGGCCTCTTTTCAGGTGAGTAGTCAAGCACAAATCATACATACCAGCCAGGGTTCCCTAACGTCATGCCCCATACAAATTCAAGACACTCAGGCAGCTACAAGCTAGGGGCATTGTCTAACAAGGACTGGAGGGAGATGTCTGTGTAGCTGCAGATCTTTCCAGTGTACCAAGAACATGAACTTGAAGAAAACCTGGGACTGTTCCAGATGCATCCTTCTTTGAAACTCCATGTGCACCTCTGTGGCTTACTCTTCCACAAACCCTAGGCCGGGGAGACCCCAACTCAACTGAATTCTGAGGGACACCCCTCCCGACCCCCCTCCAACCAGAAGAATAAGGAGCTGGAGGCCAACATGGAATCAAGTATACATTTTAAAAATTGTTTAATGGGACATAAACTCCTTTAAAAAACATTCAGCTAGGTGATAACACCCATAGAAAAAAACACCAATCTCGTGTTTATCTTTTTTAATTTGGCATTTGTTATTTGCATTTATATTAAAGCAAAGTGCATCTTTCTTTTATTTTTCTTGTTTATACACATTGCACAATACATAAATAATGATGCTTATAAAACGTCTTTATATTTACAAGTAATAATATATTTATATATAACATAAAATACATTTTTTTTTCTTTAATAAATCTCAGTTTTGTTTTTTGTTTCTTTTTCAGGAGTCCTTTTTCTCAAAGCACTACAATGCTAAATTTCCAATGAGAATGCTTCTCTTGTTCATTTAAACCTTTGTAGTTAGAAAAATAGCTTATGTTAAAGTCTGAACATGCTCATTGAGCTAAGAACAGTGTCTAAGTATCATACGAGTGTATGAGTTTGTAGAAGAAATGAAAGAACAGTTAGGTGTTAGCCTAGGAGGGTACCTTGGGTTGTGATGGACCAAAGCCTTGATGGGAAGGGAGGCTGCTGAGACGTCACCCGTCCAGCCACGCTCCCCTTGCTGGTCTAACAGCAGCATTCAACACACAGGCTGTGGAGGGAACAAAAGTGCCGAGCTGGTTTCTGAGTCTGGGAAAAACCTGATGTCACCAGGGCAGGGGAGAGCAGAAAGGGCCCAGAGGGCACAGGGGGAGCAATACTGTGACGATGCCCCTCGGAAGCCCAATGCGGAGATACCCAGGAGCAGATGGCCACAACACAGAGACACCATAATGGCAACGGGGTGGCAGGAGGGCTGTAAGATAGGGATGAAAACAATTAGTTCTGGTTCAGACTCTAGCAGGGTTGCTTCTAAGAAGCCTGTGGATAGGCCCGTGTCCTAGGAGGGGAGAGAGTGGCAGGGTGGGGGCTTCCCCGGACTGGGACAGAGCCTGGCTTCTGGCAGCTGCTGGGACACCCACCTCCAGCTTGCCTAGGTACTGACTCTGCCCCACTGAGCGTGTCCAAAGGGCGAGAGAGACACAGCATGGGACCACAAACCGCTCAGCTGGGGATATCCGTAAGAAACAGAGAACATGCCGTTTCCCCCTTCGGCCGTTCGCACACACACATGCACACGGACTCATACACACATACTCACTCACACGTACACTTTTGACAAGTGAAATGATGACCCAAAAGTAAAGGAACTGCTCCCCTTTCACACAACGTGTTTGGTGGTGGTCTGATTTCGCTTCCCCTTTTCATATTGGGGTGTCCTGCCAACCATACCCCAACACCCCCCCAAAAATCACAACAATTCTTTCCATAAGCTATTTCTCAAAGAACAAAACAAAACAGAACATAAACAAGAACGCCTAGGGGAAAAAAAAAAACCAAAGAGTTTGCATGAAAAGCAAGCACTCGGGAGGAAAATATTAGCAGCAAAGTAGTTTGAATGGTGGCCTGCTCGGCTCACACTCTGTCCTCTCCCCACGTGGCTACCGGCTGTTGAAGATGACCTCCAGCCAGCACGGGCAGCTGCTGATGAACTGGCGGGTGTAGCACTGGCCCCAGCCCTTCACGAAGCTGATCTGCACGGTGAAGCCAGTCCACGGCTGCTGCATGAACTCGTGGTCATTGGGCCGCTGCAAGCTGTACGCTTTCTCATAGTCAAACGCCTTGATGGAGAAACCGGGGAACACCTTGTGTACCAACAGCGTCCTGGAGTCCGGGTTGTCCAGTGTGGCTGACTTGATGAAGATGGGGTAACTGCTGCGGTTGTACACCCACACACCATCCACTTCCCGTGTGAGCTGGATACCACAGCCAATTTTGCTCCGCACTTTCTGCACCAGCTGACTCTTGTTGTCTGAATTGAGCTGTCCGAGGCAAAAGCCATTCCCCTGAGGTAGATCATAGAAGATGTCCAGGGAGGGCTCCTGGACACAGTACAGCCTGCCCACTCTTGTCTTCTCCTCCCAGTATGCCACCACGCACCAGTGTGACCGATCCCCAGGCTCCAGAAGAAGTTGGGAATCTACAAAACAAAATGGTGGACATGGTTGGTGGTGAAGTGGATTGGCCGTTTTCTCGTTCTGGAATCAAGACACTTACGTGCACACACACACATACCCATCACCAGCTCATCTCTTAGCATGAGGCAACAGGAAGAGGTGGTGGTGGTGCCAGGCTGTGATGGTGCCAGGCTATGCTGCAGGCTCTATCAGCCTCCCACTGAAGTCCTGATCCCGCCCAAAGAAAACCACGGGGTTTGCTGGGTGCCTCTTCCCTCTAACCCACCCATTCTGTTTGGGACTTGAGACACCAGCACAGGGAGCCCACTGGGCCAAAGGAAGCCCCATTATTGCAGACCACAGTGACCTTAGGTCATTTGGCTGGTCCTGGTTTTAGGGCTAGGAAGGGCCTTAGGGATGGACTCAAATTACCCATCTTAAACCCGGATGGAAACTTGCAAGGCTAGTTGCTCCAGCCCCATGTCAACCTGACCAGAAACTTGAGATCCTGAAAGCCTGTTGCATGGAAACCAGGTGAAGGTGCAGCCAAATCCAGACCTCAGGTCTCCGGGATCGAGGTCCACCTACTACACAGTCTCCTCTGTGTTTCTCATGCAGTCTCAAGTCAGTGCCTTGATTATAAGGGGGCTTTATCTGGTACAAATGGGGGTGTTTGGGGAACAAAAACATCTATCTTTCTAATAGAAAAACAAGTCTCAGTATGTCAGCAGCAGTTCTGTACACAAAGGGTGAATTCATGTCAAAATGCCAAATCCCAGCATGCAGGTCGCTATTAATCCTGACAAGCCAGACGGGATTCTGTGCCTAACGTGAATATGACATCCTTGAAGTACCTTCTCTGCAGCCTTCTACAACCCTAAAGTCCATCCCCTCCCCAGAAGTATCTAGACTTTGCAAAATGTGACTTTGCACAGAGTGATGCTGCTCTTTCTCGCTGCCCTCCCCCCCTCCTTCCTCCTCCAGGGAAGCCCCACCCCAGCTTTCCTAGACATGGTTCTTCCCACTGGCGGCCTGGAGACTGGCGACTCTCACTCTTGCAGGGTGGTTTTCTTAAGCAGGCTCTCCAGGTCTTTGAAGGGGGTGGGGGTGGGGTTGGTCATGTAGAGCATGAGGGAGCCCCAGCGCCTGTCATTCCAACTCCTCCTTGAGCTAGAGACGGTGTGGTAGGCCTCAGATGGAACCATAAATCTCCCCAGCCCAGCCAGGCTGCAGGAACGCTGTGGTTTGTGGTGGCAGGGTGGAGACCGGAAGTCTTGTATTTGTTAACAAAAATGGGGAAAGGCGAGGGGGAAGAGAAGAGGGAAGGAGCCCGGTGATGGAGGCCTCATCCTGCTCCTCCTGCAGCCCCTCGTTGCTCACTCTCTGGTGGATTGAGCGGGGCATGAGGGTGGGGTTGAGTGTAAGATGTTTTTTGGTTTCTTTGGCTTCTTTGTTTTAGCAACAACTGAGCTAAGAGAGTCAGTGGTAATGGTGGGGTGTACGCGAGGGCTCCCATGTCCTGCTGCCCAGGCAGGCTGGGTAACCCTGTGTGGCTGAACACATCAACTCCTTCCAACTTTTACAGACATGTTGGAACCTGGGAGGCAGTCAGTTCCATTAATTTTTTTTTTTTTTTTTAAAGCAGCAGCCAATCTTGGATTGAGCTGTCCTGTAAGTCTGTACAAAAGTGCACACTACGGCTGGAGCCATGCCGACCACTGAGGCAGCTGCGGACACATGCTGAGGGGCTGTCCCCCGACAGCCCAAGGGCCTTCTCAAATGCCTGCCCCAGGCATCCACACAAAAGAGGAAGCTTGTAGCTCATTCCTTTCCCTCCATCCTTACCCACTGAAAATCAACACCAGAAAGCTGGTCTGCCACCCCCTGCAGTACCCTTATACTACAAGTGTGTGTGTGTGTGGGGGGGGACTGTTGTGTGCCATGAGTGTGAGCACTTGTAGGTGTGTTACGTGAGTGGATGAGTGTCTGCACACACATGTGCACACACACAGCAACACAGGGAAAAACAAGAGAGGGACACAAGCTCCAAGCAGAAGGTGACTCATCAGGGCATTAACTTGTTTCTGCAAAGTATCCATCAACTGCTAATAAACTAACTCGTGAGCACTAGCAATCCTGGAACTTTCTGCAGAAGGTTGAAGACGCCACCAAGACACACAACACCCATGGAAACAAGAATTCTTTTCGCTCAAGCTCAGTGGGACGGAGAAAGTCTGCGAGGCACAGAGCGTCCGCCCATTTTGGGGAGGAGGAGGGTGTTTTGAAATATAAGAAGCCCTTGCTCATATCCAAACTCTGCAACAAACCTGGCCTGGACAGGACGACTCAGGGAGTGCCCAGGAGGGGTACGGAGGGGACCCAGGAGACCCTCTACAGAGCCTCTCAATGCTTTGTCTCATGAGGTGGCCCTGCTGAACGCCACCTAAGGACTAGCGGAGGAGAAGGAAGAGGTGGAGAAGGACCAGGCCAGGATGGCGTTGCCCTTGTGCCAGGATGGCCACCTCCGGGAGGGGCAGGGGTCTCTGGGGCAGAGGAAGCTGGGCGAGGGGCTGGGCATGAGGTCTCGCCCCAGCGGGGGTGGCAAGAGGAGAAGAAGGAGAAGCATTTTGGCGGGTTTCCCTTTCATCTATGCAGCCCGCCAGTCCACCCAGCAATTTGCTGCCAGACATCCCCAGGAAAAAGCTTTTTTCTGTTGCGGTTAATGGCCCAGCCCAGATAAACGGCAAGTGTGGGTGTGCCTGTGTATGAACAGGGCCCCCAAAAGCCCACCCAGTGCCCAAACCTGCCACGGCAAGACCTCAGCCTGCTCCTCCCCTGCCACTTTACATGGCCCCTGCTGTCACCCAGCAACCAGCCACCCACCCACCTGACAGAGAAGCTCCACTCCCCACCCCCCCAGACTACTTCTGAGAACAAAAACAATCTCTTCTACAAAACCACGTAGAAAATGGCGGAGGCCCTTGAACCCTGGTGTTTGCATCACACCTTCTTCTGGGGACCCCATGCCACATACCACGTTGTCAATACAGAGATCCCCTAGTATGGCCCAAATTCCCCACCACTTGGGCCGGTTTCTGGGAAACACACAGGATCATCTTCAGAGAAACAGAGTTCCCTGAATTGGGCCCACAGCCCACAAGAAATCTCCCCCCACAGAGGTCTGTGTGGATGCTTAGCTCCTGGGGGCTTCCGGGACTGTGGGGATCTCACACAGAAAGCCTCAATAATTACAAGGGCCTGGGTGGTGCAAAGGGTTAGCGTGTTCGCCTTCTAACCTAAAGGTTAGTCCATCTAGGGGCACCTCGAACGAACAAAGTCTATCCCTGAAAAAAAATCCAGCCACTGAAAACTCTGTGGAGCAGTCCTACTCTGACTCACACAGGGCCACCATGAGTCAGAAGTGACTCGATGGTAACTAGTGTTTTAAGTTAGCACGAGTTACAGAAGCCCAACTTGTTTATTATCATTGTTGGTGATGTGTAACACCCCACCGCCCCCCGAGAAACCCAGTCACTTATTAATTTCCCTTACCTTTCCCAGTATTTCCAATAACTTCTCCTCTTCCCCAGAAAACTGTTACGATCTTGTTTTAAAACTGTACGTGTTCATTTTAAAGCATCCTAAAGAAAACCTGTTGTAAAACGCTAACTAATCAGATGCCTGCTCACGTTTTTTTTCTTTTTTATTACAGATTAGGGAATTTTTGGAGCAACACCAGAAAAATGCTGAATCTGCCTAAAACTTCTTCAAGGTGTTTCTCTCCCCCCACCCCATTTCCCTTAAAGCATAAAATGTAACCTTTAAAGGGGAAGGGGAGGTGGGTGTTAAGAAGGGGAGGGTTTTGCCTTGTGTATTCACTTGTGAGAGAGAAGACCACTTACTAAGGAGTGGCCTCTCTCAGAGTTATTGAATTACCCTGATGAGGAATGAAGGCACGCTGGTGGTGTATTGCCTAAGGCATTTGACCACCAACCAGTTCAAACGCACCAGCCACTCTGCGGAAGAAAGGCCAGGCAATCTACTTCCCTAAAGACTTAGGGCCTCGGAAACCCAATGAGGGTCCCTACGAGTCGGAATTGACTCAAAGGCAGTGAGTTTGGTTTTTTCTTTTTTGTTTGGTGATGAACACACCAGATCCTTCCAGAAGACCAGAGGCTCGTGAATGAATCCCTGACCTGGGGTCTCTAGGGCACACACGACCAGACCTCAAGACCACATTTTAGGTAAACAAGGCATTTATTTTCCTATTTGTGGGTAGACCCAGCTAGGCCTGACTGTGTCCACACACAGAGGTAGTACTGACAGGGAAAGGGGCTCCTGAGATCGCAACCTTTCAGGATAGTAACACAATTGGAAAACAGAATGAGTGCAGAGCCCAGTAGCTGGCCACTGAGGTCAAATGGGCTGTACTGGTTGGGTGCCAAGGGGGACTGGGGAAAAAGACGAAAGAGAAAGGGGTCCACCTGCTCTCATCTCTTCAAGGCATTTGGATTATAAAGGGCTATTTCTCTGCCAGAGTCCCACGAGTGGGCCAACCCTACGAGCCCCCTCCCCAATGGGCCAGCAGAGCAGAAGGCTGAGTTTGGAGAAGTCGGGACGGGAGGTGGGGAAGCCTGGGCAGAAACGGTCTCTCTTGTCAATCAGCGCACATGAAGGGCAAAAAGTATATACACAGAAGGCTCAACCCAGCAATCCTGAACCACAAACATCGCCACACCTCTGGGCAGCAGGTCCAGGGTCCTCCCCTCCCCAGGACCCAGGCGCCACCAAGGGTTGCTTCATCTTGTCCTTCCCCGACCTCAGATATCTCAAAGGTTAACAGCACCAGTCTATTCTGCTCTCCACCCTGCTCAGGAAACCGGTTGTTCTATGATCAGCCAGCCACTGAGATAAAAGGGAACACAGTGCCAATGTGTCCAATCCAGTCTCCTCCCCAAAAAAATCTTAATTAGCAAGGATCCTTGTGGGGTGTTGTTTTTTTAAGAGGGAACGGACTGAAAAA